CTGTTTTCTTCTTCTTCTTCTTCTGCTTTTCCTTCTTTTAGCCCTCGATAGGTTCTTGATTGCGACGTGGTCGGAGAAGGGTCCCATCCGGTCTTTTCTCTTATCCCCCTTTTGGGGCCCACCTATAGGGCCCAACTCTCCCTCTCTGATGGGTCATTCCGCACGGGTGAACACCCAGAACAGAACCGAATAGGGGGAGGAGGAGGTTGTGTAGAGGGATGGAGTGGAGCGGGATTCTTGACCTCATACCTCTTCTGGGGCTGCGGAACATTTCCTCGTGTGTTGCTATTTTTTGGGTGATGGAGAGAGGGAGCGAGAGATTTTGAGAGTGATAGAGAGAACGAGCGAGTGATGAGTGAGAGATAGCGAGAGAGAGACCTCAATAGAAAATTGCGGCATAGACATTTCTCGCAAAAAATTTTTCAGTTCCGCTTTACACCCCCTTGACGCCACTTACTTTAGCCGGTAGATGGCTACTGCCTTTCCCTTAGCTAGAAAATACAAATTTTTCCGGTTTTTGGCATACCAGACGTTAAATCGCCACTAACCAAATCTACGCCTTTTCTCCCCGCTCCAAAGTGGATCATTTCTGTTCCCGGGGATCCCCCGGGCGAATTCCACTGAATTTGAAGGCTTTGTCCCCCCGAACCAGCACAACACAAAGGTGGATTGGCCGGGGTGGGCTGGGGATGGACGTAAATTTTTTCCTCGGCAGGAAAATATGCTCCCATGGCCATCGAGATGGCCGTAAAAAGTTCATATCCTGGTATGGGGGGACAGGGTTAATCTAGAAAAATGGGGGTGGAAGGATATATGGATATTAGATGGCGACGACGTTGGCTTTTTAAGGATTCTGAGTAGGGGTAGGGGAGGGAAAGAATGATGCTTGCAGAATCTCGTATTTTTGTGGACTTCCGGGGTTTTCGGAGGATTGAAATAGTGCACGGAAGTTTCTCTCTTTCTCTCTCTATCTCTCTCGCTCTCTCTACCCCTCTCTCTCTCTCTTTCTCTCGCAGGATACCCCTCCGCTCTCACTCTCTAACTATCGAGTTAAATGGAACATTTTGTTCTTCCAATCCAAGAAAGTTCATCTCAAATATTTCCCTCTTACATCCCAACCAGATATTCATGGACACCTCCCCAAACTTCTCCGCCTCAACCATAAATTCAGCACCTCCGAAATATCCCCTCCGAAGCCCTCCGAGACGACCAAAAACTATGCACGCAAATCCCCTGATGGCTTGAAGAGAGCCATAGACCCCAAAAGCATATAGACGCTGAGGACGTGCCTAATTCCTGCCGATGGGTCATCAATTTTAGGCCCCGGTCGCTGCCTGGGCAAAGCGCCCAAATAAAATTAGCATTATGCGGGTATTAGGCAATCGTTTTTTTGCCTGAAAATAATTGGCAATTACGGGGGGAATACTATATCGTAGGCATTAGGAAGATGTGGGGGAAGATAGAGTGGTGGTAATGCCCAAGAGTAAGGGTGGATTCTATTAGATGGTGACGTAAAAATGCCCTTGGCGTCCAATAGGCACACTTTTGCTAGGAAGGACAAAAATCAGTATCTTAAGGGGGGCCGGCAAGGGGTGGATTCGCTTTGGATTCATCAAGGCGCGAGACGCAACGGGCCGCCACTTGAAAATTGTCAAAAATCCATAAGGGATCCATAGCTAATAACGTCGATTGGTTTGTCTTGCCGGTCCCTTTAAAGGATAGCTAGGCCGAATGTGATCAATGTTCGGTTAGATACCTTTACCGCTCCAAGAGCTTCGCTATTTGATGCCCCCAAAAACGGACCTGAAGCAGTTCCTTCCGCGTCGTCTCGTTGATTGCTCGACACGGGCCGAAATTCGGCTGCTTTCGGCGCTGCAAAAAAACGTGGCGGGGTAAAATTAGACAAGTCGAACGCGTGCGGGACTAGTTGAACTAGCGAGGCTTTGCAAAATTAAACTTTTAGCTTTATAGGAGAGCTTACACCTTGAAAAATCAAGCATAGCACTACCTCTTTTCTTGATGGTACACTCGCGGTTGATGGAGTCGAAAGAAGGTAGGGCCAAAGCTTTGCCCCTCCCGCCTTTTGTATCGTGTCGTAGTCGATGGGTTCGGATCTGGATTATGTAGTTTATGGTTATTACAGATTAGGATACCTTCTCAAAGAATCCCCTCGTGGCGGTAGTTTGAAGCCCCCCTCCTCTAGCTGCTGGTCGGCTATTTGTTGTAACTAAAAAAGGGTAAACTTGTATTTCTGAATTTTACGCGCCAAGTTTTTAGTTTATTGTAGATCGAGGTTAGTCACCATACCTTATTCGCTTCTGTGGACGTCAAATCGGGCAAGAGGAGAACGATATTCGCCAGATAAGTGACGATCATCTGGGCCCCGGGCCCCCGCGACGCGGCACGCAGCTTGCACCGGTGAAGTCGCGCACTTTTAGCGCGCTCACCGGGTACTGAAAAGGCGGAGTTTCATTGTTAAAACAATTAAAATAGAAAACATATATTAGAGACTGAGAAAACAAAATACATGCTTTTAAGAAATTTTTTCGACGCGTCGAATGCTGGTACGCCATGAATTTCGTATGAAATCCGCATTAAAAGACAAAAAGATTCAGCAGAAATCATCGAAAACTTAAGCGAAGTTTTAGCCAATCACACCTCCCTCCCGGCTTTGTCAAGAACCTTTTCCAAAGAAGTGGGGTTCCCCCTCCTTTAGGGGTCCGCTCTTTGAGCCTTGCGCTAAACCACTTGTGCAAAAAGGGGGGTGTCTGGGTACTCGGGAGGTTTTGTTGTCACGAAATGACAGAAAACTCAATAAAAATGGGGGCGAAAGTGAGTACAGCTTTGCACCAACCTGGCACTCGGGAAGTGATCTTTTATGCTTGTTTTTTTACCTTGCAGGCTTCCAGAGGGCCTCAAATCTACTCGAAAAATATAAACAAATTCTAAAGGAATTTTATTGCTGATAAATGGCATTTTTCGGGGGGTTTCCAGTAGGAGTAACCTTAATTAAGCCATTTAAGCAAGCAGATGGCTCTTTCTAGAATTCTAAAGTGACGACTCTTTTACTGTCAGATCCGTCCTCTGGGCTCTTTGGAAGGCTCCTTCTCTACTTAATTTCTTACCTTGCCGGCTTCTAGACGCCCCCCAATTCTACAGAAAAAACCTAGGAGAACTCAAAAAAAACTGGTTACTATAAAATCACATTTCTCTGTTTTTTTTGTACAATAGCAACATCAATTAATTTCGGAATTTTAACTCTGATTTTCATGTTTTTAATGCAGATTCCTTTGACTCCCAAACACCTTGACTTCTATCTTCTCTTCTAAACCCAAGCTCTTCCTTCTCCCCTGAAAACACCCGAAATTGGAGAATCGAGACAAATTCCACCCCATAAAAGGTCACCCAAGTGCACGGCGCACCGGCAGCAAGGGGGGGTTGTTTAGCGCTCGAGCCCCTGGTGCTGCTTGAAAGTGGGAAATCTGGCGACATGATGCCCATGGCTGTCATCTACAGATACTGCCCATACGCCCCTGCTTTTGCCATTATGGGGTGCCTATCGAAAAATATGCGAGCAGCCGAGGCAATGTGACACAAATTGCGCAAGTAGGTGGACAAAGAACCTTAGGATGGCCTGGATTTTATTTAAAAATATTTTTTTGAAGATTCGTGAAGTGTATCAAGCTCAAAAAAATTAAAATATGTATTCTAACAATGTTTAAGACTGGGTAAGTAATTTATGGAAAGGAATAACGGGATAAGAGAGAGAGATGAAACACCCGTATGCAAATACATTTAAAGGGATGGTGACAGTAGGTATTTTTCGCCTTGGTGCTAAATTCGTAGCTAGGAAGGAGCTGTAGTTTGTGGTTAAGCACGATTACAGAAGCCCTTAGCTGTTTCCATCTCTTTAAAAAGGAACATGAATATTCTAGTTCAGGCCCAAAATTTCAGCTGATCATCCTGACCCCTCCCTTGATCACCAAATATGTAAATCTGAGCCCCTAAAAACAATTAAAACCAGGAGACGAGTGATGGAAGCATGGGATAGTGGTGAGGATAAGCTCTATCTCCCCCCAACCCCCAATATGTCGGTCTTTTAAGGGGAGAAAGACCTTTTGGAAGGGACCCAGAGCCCCTCCCTGGCATCCGTTAGGGCCCCGCCCCTGCTCCCTCTCCCTCTCAATTGAGCTTCTCCTCCTCTTCTCCTATGCACCTCCACCACCACCGAAATTTGTCATTTTTGATCGAGCAGCAATTATCTGCCCTCACCGCCCAGGCACCAGCATGGACACTGGTAAATGGGGGACATTTGGGGGAACCCGGTGGGGAGAGAGAGAGAGAGAGAGAGAGAGAGAGAGAGAGAGAGAGAGAGCAAAGGAGTACAATATTAATCGACAACGTTCATTAAATAGGGATTCTATAGCAAATATTTTATCTGAATTTTTTAGAAACGAAATTTTGAGGCCGGAACCTCAAAAAATCCTCGATTCCTGGAATAAGCTTACCAAAGCCGCAAAAATTTCACACGAACCGATATGACTTCCTGAGAATAAGTTGCCACATTTTTTGGGAAAATCGAAAATTGAATAATTCTTTGGCCAGTAGGCTGTGTAACTAAGAAATCAGGCAAAAATGGGTAGCACTTTGGAAATTGCGATTTTTTTTGGGGCCGTTTAAGCTGTAGAAGTCAATCTTTTTTGCAAACTTGTAAATTTGTCGTAAAGTGCATAGCCCGCCCCCGTTCTCAGACTTCTAAATTCGTAGCCAAAACAGCTCCCAATTTCGATAATTACCCTCTTACCCAAGGATTATACAGTAACCCCCAAATTACCAATCCTAAAAAGTTATGGAAATGACGAATCCTTCTGTGGGGTTTTTGATACTATCCGTCAGGACCGTGATGAATCACAATGTTTTGACTCGCGAGAAAGACGTGTGGGGATAAATATGCAAAATTCCGACAATACGGGCTTTGTTTTCTGGAAATTCCGAGGAAGATGAAGTTTGTGCTCTATCTGGCGGCCGTGTTTTGGGCTATTTCAGCTGTGAGTACGGTAGTTTGGGGTAAATAGGCACATTTTAGAAACCACAACTTCCTCCCGGTTCTTGCACCGTGAACGGTGGGTGTTAATAGACTTGCTTTTCCAAAAACTGGAATTCTAAGAATGTGGAGGAATTTCGGATTCAATTTCAAGCACTGAATTGATATCTAAATTTGATTTTCCATATATGCTGGTCTCCGGGGAAATATTACACGTAAAGTAGCCGTAATCACCTAATTCCCATAATCATGCGTCAGAACTCTTAATAAATGCTGAAATTCTAGTTTGTGTCTCACAGCCGGTCGTCGGATTGAAGCTGGCTTCGGAAAATGTGCGCGAAGCTTGTGAATGGATGCCGGAACGACCGATCGACAGCTGCTTCGAATGTTGCCAAGCAGTTCGGGCTGAGCGCAAATATTCGGGGGTCAGTTTCAGCAATAATATAACATATAATATGTACAAGATATAGCATATTTTTAAATATAACCTATGTTTTCAGCGACTTGTGCACGAGATCCTGATCCCCAGATCGCATTGCAGTTGCTGCTTTGGCAATGACAAGTGCCTGACGCGACGATGAATTTAATAAATTTTTGACGAGTTGCAACAGTTTTACTGCATGATTACGACACCACAACACACTTCAATACGATAAAATTGACCTTTTTGTATAACTTGCAAAATGTAAATCTCTATTTCCTGTTGTAATTTAAAATTAAGGAGGGTCACACGCCCAAATTTTCGCAATTTTACCGATTGTTCTCCTGCAATATCGACCAGTCAGGTGATGATGAGTAATATCAGCAGGGCGTCAGCAACGTCACCTTGTCTTCTTGAGACAAACCATTGCTTCCTTTCCCTTACAAACGCTTCATTTTTCCATGCCACATGAAATCAAAAAACCCCCAAAACCACCAACAAAAAAACCCCAAAAAACCCCCCAAAAAAAAAAAAACCCCCCACAAAAAAAAAAAAAAAAAACCCCCCTTAAATTTTCCCGCCTGGGGGGGCCAACCCCCCCACAACCCCCCCACACATCTTATCCTTTAAAACTATCATTTATAGTACTCTAATAATTACAGTGTTTGCTTTCCTTTCGACCCGAATAGAAATGTAAACTCTTTGCTGTAATTTCAGGTGACCACCTCGACTTTGGCATTTTTTCCACTAAAAAGCATCGCCTTCCCTGGAAAAAGGAGATCCCAAACATGTAATCAACTTACAGGATGGTATTTTAGTTTATTAAGCTCTGGCTAAAGATTTTAGAGCTGGTTTTTTTGTGGTTGGGGTTTTTTTTTTTTCCCCCCTTTTTTTTTTTTTTTTCCCCCCGGGGTTTTTTGTTTGTTCGGTTTTACTTTATGGCAGATTACATATAAGAAAACACGTATTAATGACGCATGATCGTCCAAATTTATGTCTTTTTTTGCTGGAGCTGCTCACCGGAAGGAGCTGAAACCTGGTGTATGCAGGTCTTGTAAAAACTATCGCCGATCTCTCTCTCTCTCCCTATCTCTCTCGTGCCCTCATAACGGCATATTTACACTTTATGTTTATATTTAGACCTGGCGGTACTATCAGCTGTTGTCGATTCTGGAATTCATGAATGAGTCCCGGACAATCGACTGGAAGACGTCCACTGTATCGGACCGGAATTTTAGGGCATTTACGGCGACGTCATGGAGAAACATTCATGCTCGAAAAAATTAAATGTAAACATTATGTACCCTTGAGAGACGTCCAATTCTAAGCGGAACTGCAAGTTTAATAAGAATAAAAAATTCCGGACTTTATGGTCCAGTTTTGGCAACGATGATGATTACGCATTGTCGAAACCTTTCTGCTTATTGCAGAGGTTCGAAGGGAGTTTCCTATCCCGCGCCCCTTGCCTGTGCTACAGTAGTCCCCGGCGCCCCCCGGAGAGCCGCGCTCTCCGATTATTGGGTCAGTTCTTTTATGGGAGCAAGCCTCCATGCTGCCCGATTTCGTCAGAGTTGAGCCAAAACCATTTGAATTACTTTGCGCCTTTGTTTTGAACCAAAACCCACTTGTGACCATTCGATGAGTACTCTTGTATCTCAGTTTAGTTCAATGTCGATAAACCTTTTGTCTCTAGACAATTGTACCGAAATGCATTTGGGATTCTTTACAAGATTCTACCACTGAACAATCCAAGCTTCATCTCCTTGTTGTGGCTTCTTGTGGTTCGTGAATCTTTCTTGGCCTATGTCGAGGATACTAGGTTCGAGAGAGTCTGAACGGGCCCAAGGGGCAAAGGCATCAACTATAATAAAAAAGTTGTGGTGTCTGTCCGTCTGTCCGTCTGTCCGGTCCCGAATTCAACTCGAAGGGGAAAAGAGCTAGACCTTAGCTCTCTTCGGATTCGGATAGAGCGTGGTCAGAAACCCCCCAAACTGATAAAAAAATTATGAAAAAGTTTTAGTTTAAATTATTAAAATTAACTTTGAAAGTTTTTCCTTAGTAAAGGGGGTGGGGGCGGAGGTTGGGCTGATTTTGGACATAGTGAGCCAGGTGACGCGCGTTTCGTGGCTGAAAAATTTCACGGGGATTTCATTTCTTTTTTTTCTCTCATTCCATCCGGTCGGTCGTTATTTTTGTTTTTGAAGGGGATTTCGGCTAGGGGAGGTATCTTAAACCATCGGGAAGGTATTTAGGTAGTTTTTGACGGGGATTTCAGCCATGGGTGGTATCTGAAGCCATCAGGAAGGTATTTAGGTAGTTTTTGAAGGGGATTTCGGCTATGGGGGGTATTGATGGAGGTGGGAAAGGATGTGATGGAGTGGGACATGTAGGGTAGCCTGAAGGCCAGATGGTTGCAGTCGCGAAGCGACTGTAACCATCTGGTAAGTATATAGTGTGGCAAGTCCTTACTCTAGACCTCAGTGATCCTTTTGGTAGAGGCTAGAATGCGGGATAGACTATATTACTTTTGTCGTGGTGCGTCTCGGGTTACGAATTCGAGTCTAGTTTCCCAATGCATTATCGGTCAAAATCGGCTTTGAATCAGAACCAAACCAGTACCAAACCAATGCAATGGGGCGCCTGAAAAGGCTGCCGCTCCGTCCTGGACGTGCTGCACACTCCAAGACCCGGCCAATAGAAGGATCAGCTGCTGTTCCCGTCAACACTCGTCGACCGAGCTCCAGCTTGCTGACGACGAGGCGAAGATGGGATGCCCTGCATGCAATCGTGCAGGTCGAGGCACTGGACCTTTTGGAATTGACATTCGCAGAAGTAAGGTATAGTTTCCCCGTTTTATATACAAGCGTGCGTTGATCAACATCGCCACGTCTCCACTTTTGTCAACAAAACAAGTGCTTTTTGTTCTAAATTTACGCGCATCTTATTCAATTAGTTTTTGTTTTCAATCTTTCGATTTTGTCGCAAAAAGTTGGCGCGCTTTCGTAATAAGTTCTCCCTGTACATTCTTTCCAATTATCTTTTTCTAACCATCTTTTTTACTTTTTTCCCTCCAAAACTTACTTCTTTTCTTTTTATAGACTTTTATTTTCATCCTCTTTTTACTTTTAACTTTCTTAATCAACTTTTTCTCTTTCTTTTCTAACTTTTCACACTTTTTTCACTCTTTTCTTTCGCAAACGAACCAAGTGTTCACTCTAAATTCCGTATTCAATCCCAAAACCTTTGGAGATCAGCGAGCTAACTTTCGCCACGGCGAAAATAGGCTTGCGGCATGCCTCGGCGTGTGATCTTCAAATATCCAGAACCTTTTTACGCTTTTTGAGAAAAGCAATCTGCCAATCGTCTACGAGCGTCTACACATTGTATGGAGCGAGGAATCAAGGAACCCAACAAGCACCGGCGAGCGATCGACTCCTCGTCATGAAGCGTGCAATGATGAAAGCAAAGCAAGCCTCTCTCGCTCATCGTCCACACCTTCGCTAACTCGTAGATTGATAGGCAGGTAAGTCTATTTTCCAGGGTAAAGCGAGAGTTCCGTCACCATGTGTGAAATAACGCTCGCGCTACACGTTTGTGTAGTATTTACCTTTTGGAAACGCCTTTTATACCAACACCCGCTTCCGTTTGTGAAAGCGTTGAAGCCGTTTTCCAAACCAAAACCACTTTCTGATCAGTTTTCGGCGACAATATGTATTCCGTATTGCCCGTTAACTGGGGGAAATATTATTTCCTTATGTCAGAAAGTTTGAATCAAGCCAAGAATTCGACATTGAATGTGGCGATTGCTATATTGGTTGCCCTCTCTGTCGGTATTCATAACCAAAACGAATTTATCAACGTTGAGCGACACTTTCTCGCCTTCGAAGATGAGTTCAACAGGACAAATCTTACGATTGCTGCTGACGATTGCTATATTGGTTGTCCGCGTCGTAAGATTTTACTGAATCTCTCCGGTTCTACTCTCACGGTAGAATCAAACAGTTCCTTTGAGAATCAGTGAGCGTAGTTTCATCAATGTGTGAACAGAAGCTCGCGGCATGCTTTCTGCGTGCGGTTCTCAAGCTCTTCATGCCAATATAGAAATCAAAGGAAAGGAATTAACTCTCGAATTGATTCTCGAAAGAAAGAACAAATTCTTTCTTACTTCGACCCAATTCCCACTTTTTCGAGTGCTTCTCTTTCTCTGTTCTCGTTGCTTTTCCATTCGGGTGTCCTCATGAGCTCATGAAGGTTACCCATCTTCACTTTTCAGGTAATACTGGAAAGTCATCATGGCTCTGACCGACATGGAGACTCTGACGGCCTACTTGGAAGGATGGCGCGAGATCAAGGACGCGTGTGAGCTGCTGTGCGCCAATGCGCCGCGCCTCGCTACGCTTCGTCCAAGGGATCGAGATCAAGCTGCTCGGAAGAGTAACCTAGAGTCTTTTGTCCAGCGCATCAATCGTAGGGTGAGCGTCATGCGCCCCATGATTGAGGCCGGGTTGGATGACCCCACCGATCTCGAACTTCGAGATTTCCTTATGGAGCACGGTGGGGCTGACATCTTAGCAGAAATGCTAACAACCCGAGCAAACCTCACGGCCGCTTACCTTCTGGTAGCGGGTGAACCGATGAGGGGAGTCGACCCCAATGGGGAACCGACTGCAAACCAAAACCAAGTTCCCATCGCGGAACAAAACCAAAACCTTCCTGATAACGAGCAAGCCGAGACCGAAAACGGCACGGCCGATCGTGATCAGGGACAACCCGATCCCAACACCAACCAAGGCCTTACCTTGGAAGCCATCCAGAACATGTTCACCCAAATGTCGACACAAATGAGCAACAACATAAAGCAAGGATTGGCCGACGTCAACGGAAAACAAGACTGGACCAACGCAAAGCTAGGAAGCCTGGTTGGCGATCATCAGCGCCTATCCGATCGTGTTAAGGATTTGGAAAACAAGGTGAGTTTAGGTGTTTCGAAAAATCAAGAGCGCCATGTGCCATCTCTTGGTATTGAGACACCCAATACATTTGTTAGCCAAAGCCGTGCGAATGCACTTCTGTTCCAAAACCAGAACCAGTTGACCTCACTCTCCCCTGTTTCTCAACAGGAAGCAGAGATCGGAGAGAAGGAGCTAGCCACACTGT